GCCACAGAGGACACTTACCCCACCCTTTGGGAAAATGGCTCCAGAGAGCCGCTTGGAAGCAGCCCATGGAGGGAAAATAGTTTTTACCTTATTCATGAAATCTTCTGATTAATAGAATTTTACCCCAATACTTAGGCCCTCTTAAAGAACATAGATAAGCACATGATTTCTCTCTTTTAGACTCCCTTGTCGATTTAATCCCTAGTTGACCTTGTTGAGGAGCCTTCACTAACCATCCCTACCTGGTTCCATAAATGATAACTAACAGTTATTGTTCTGTGTATAAATCTTATCTGCATTGGTGACCCTGGGAAACTCAAGCTTCACATTGCATTGCCAAAAGAATTACTGTTGTAAATTTATATATATCTGTACCCTCAATATAGAAGAACTATTTGTAGAACAATAAAGAGATGGATAGAAAGAACATGTTGTGAGAAGACTCTTTTTTTCTATAGCCCTCAGAATTTAGTTTCCTTTACTTATTATAGTGTCTCTTTTGAACTCTGAACAAAGACTTTTAAGGCTGGACCTTGAAAGACTTCAATAAGAACTTGATCCATTCTTAATCTTCTTCATAAATACACTCATTGTTGAGAAAATGTTTCTTATGATCCATATAAAATTAATTTATTAAAATCTAAATGTCACTGTAATATACAACATTAACCTTATGGACGCTGTTTTTACTTGCCTGTGAGTAACCATGATGGCTAGTGAGTGATGCCTTTATCTAAAACAAAGTATTAATAGTCATGTATTCAAAATTTTTTACTTGCCTGTGAGTAACCATGATGGCTAGTGAGTGATGCCTTTATTTAAAACAAAGTATTAATAGCCATGTATTCAAAATAAAAAAAAAAATAGAAAAGCAAAAACCCAGTCATATACAAAGAAAGACATGTACTTCCACATTTCCCACGACTGTTCTCTAAAATTAAGTATAAATTACTAATGTTTAATTCACTTAAAATTTACTTAAGAGTCAGAGAGTTGGCTTGGTGAATAAAGATTCTTTCTGCCAAGCCCTGGTGCCTTGGAACAAACATGAGATGTAGAAGAGAAATGAATCCTACAAGTTGTCCTCTTACCTGTGTATGTAAACTGCAGCATGTACACACACACACACACACACACACACACACACACACACACACAATCACAGAAATAAAATTTACTTGAATACAATACTAACATTTACTCAAACATTATTAATAAGATAAAACATGAATACGAATAGTAACTTCTTAAACAAACCTGACCACTAATTCTGACTTTATTTCTTTCTCTCCATCTGTTCTCCTGTCCTCAAAGAGAAAACAGGAGATTATGTGCCAAATTTGTATTCACACAATTCTACATTGCATAAAATTATAGTTGCCATAATCAGTGACTAATTCAAGTGGAAAACATGTGAAAACTGAAAAGTGTGGTAGTTAATTCCAATTTCAGTGAGTAACTTGAAGAGTCACATAACCTATTTGAACTTTCTTTTCAAACATGGGGTAAAATTCATCATAAAATACAAAGCTAGATATTTAGAACCTCAGCTATATCAGCAAGTATTCAAATAATATATCACCCTAGAGTTATTTAGTATTTCCAAAAAATTTGACCAAAAGTCAAGAAAATGTAAGACTTGTGAAAAAGTTAAAGTCACAAAAATGACTACTAACATAGTTATATATAGACTCAAATTAAGAGGACAAATATACTGTATCCTGCAGTAGATCACAGAAATCAAACTTTTGGGTGTCATGTACCACAATTACTTATTGTTTACTCTTATAAATTTTATGATCAGGTATATTCAAGTCTTCCAGTTAAAATATGGCATTTTTCAAGAATAAGTCTGGACTTAGTATGCACATATTATTATTCAAAATCTTTTTTAAATTCCCCAAAGTTAGTACTACCCATGAACACTGAGTAGGTATGTCCATCTCCTTAGGAATAACAAAGGCTTACAATGTACTTCGTAGCTACATAGAAAATTACCCTTTCATTCCTGGTATTCTGCTGAAGATCCAGTATATTTTGTGAGTAAAACCACAGGTACATTTCAAAGGGCCTTACAGTTAAACAAAATATACAAAATGACCATATGAATAAATAATTTTTTTGAGACAGGGTTTCTCTGTGGCTTTGGAGGCTGTCCTGGAACTAGCTCTTGGACCAGGCTGGTCTCAAACTCACAGAGATCTGCCTGCCTCAGCCTCCCGAGTGCTGGGATTAGAGGCATGTGCCACCACCACCTGGCCATATAAATAAATAATTGAAGAAAGCAGGGTCATGAAGTTGAAAGGAAATGGTGGGCCATAGGAGGCATTTGAGAGGAGAGTGCTGAAAAGAAGTGAAGAAAATACAGTATGTATCTGATGTGTATGTTATAAATAGAGTATTTCAGTTTGCCTCACAAAAATAAATGTTTGAGTAAAATGTTTTCCTCCTTAAAAAATGTCACAAATAAAACTTTAGACAAAGCAAGGGGGAAGAAGGGACAAAACAGAGAATGATGGACAGAGAAAAAGGTGGAGTGGAGGCAGAAGGGAGTGGAGACTTATGTTTCAGGATGGGACAATTGAGTTTCTCATTGCCATCCATTATGGAGAGCAGTGTTGACATTCTCTGGCCCACGGAGTTAGTCACAGCTGGGCTTGTGCATCTTGCCCAGCTCAGCTTTCCACTGACTTAGGAAGATCTGAATTCGTGGTAGACAATTGGCCACACCCTTGCTCTGCCTCAGCCTTGCTCTGCCTCATCTTTCCAACCGAGCTTGTCCAGAGACAGATTAGGTGCTGCTTTAGCTGGTGCAGGAATCTGCATTTTTGTTGTGTTTCCAGATGCAGAGAAGAGAACAGACTGACTTTCTTATGCTTCCTGATACTATCAGTTAAGTCACAATAGTATAGAAAGCAATTTGTGTGAGTAACAACCATACTGGGCTTGCTTACAGCTTCCCAGGGCATGTATTTCACCCATTGTGACAACAGCTTAGATCCACACCCATCTGGACACTGTAACAATAAACACTTCCAAATGAAGAGACAGAGATCTAGGACATAGAGCAAAGACTTGTAAAGCAGGACTTCCAAACACACTAAAAGTAGAAAAGAATAGTAAACCAGACAACCTGGAGGTGTTCTCCAGGTCTCTCCTAAAGACCTTAAAATAGAGCAATGCCTCCATCTGCAGAATACCAGCCCTATCTCTGTAGGGAGTGTGCTGGTCAGGAGCTGTTCTTATGCATATAAGGCTACTTAGAAAATTCAAGAAAAACTTAAAATATTATAGAAATTATGCATAACATGCATGAAATGGTGCACACAAGATGTTAAAAGTACCATTATTAATTTTTCACTCAGAAAAAAGTTCTTCTGAAATATTTCTATGCATCTCAATGTTCAATCACCATTTTAAATAACAAGAGATGTATTTGTGTATATTTGTACTGTTTTATGTACATGCCATAGATTTTATGAGAAAAACTCACATTTCTGAGTTGGTTTGAATGGAAAAAAACATTCAAGGAAAGGATGAAGATGGATTGGCAGGCACATGACGGTCTTTGCCCCAGCTACTTCAACATCTATCATCA